GACCGGTGTTGGCATATTCAGCACACTGCTGTGTTGTTCGTTGAGGAGGCCTTTTGGAATATTTGAATGTTTTGGTTTGGCACCGCCGTAGCTTCAGCAATAGGTACTGTAGTCAGCTTGACTTTAGCAACAGGCCGTCAGCTTGACTACAATAGTAGTTCAAACATTGGCAATGTCGCAATGTCATGTCGTAGACAATTTCCCGCCTGGTTTGTCATGCTCGGGAGAAAGGAAACTTGAAGAGGACATAGTTGGTTGGTGTTCTATGTCCCATATCCAGAACATGCATAGTCTAGTTTTCCCAAATGTAATCGTATTGCAAGTATCTCCGACTTGCGTGCATGATTGGATATGTACCGCCGCAAGAAACTCAGACTTGGGTGCTTGAATGAATGAATACATACCTCGGCGCCGAAATTGCAGTAGTTCGTTGTTGAAGCTGCAGCTGTGTTCTGCGTTTAGTCGTACGTCAGTGCAAGTAATCACCTATGCTTGCAAGTACCGCACTTGATGTGCGTGCTTGGCAAGTTCGAGAGTATGGTGTTGAAGCAATCTTTTCCACATTTTAGCTTGCCAGAACCGTATTCTGGACACGCGTGATTGGTCGACGGTTGCCGGATGGGTGTGATTCCATGATTTCGAGAATGGGCGCGAACTCGCCCCATCCTTTCACTCTGCTTGTTTGGGGGTCCTTATGTGCCCCTCTGCTGTTCTGGAGAGATGCACCTCTGTGGGTGCACTCTGTTTCTCAATTCTTTCTGGTATGCTCTCATCAAGCAACTACATTTCCACCAAAATATATTCTTCTCCTTCGGACCTCCTGCGTACACTCAGAGCCAGCGGCACAACACGTGAGTTGGTATGTTGTCCTGCAGCGGTACAGGATTACGTACACGCTCACACGCGGCGCTTGAGTTATGCCTTTGACCTGTGACTATGAGCTTGCACAATCTGGTGCTCTGCTTACGTACATCAGTGGTCATTGGTGCATGTACACGTTCGTTCTTCTTGCGCGAGACACTGTGGAGAGAACACGCACCAACTCAAGAACAAATTAGGGCATTGATTTTCGACGACAATCAACAACACCTCTTCGAGAACCGATACGGGACAATCGTCAAACACCCACAAGCCTACATTCCCAAGAGGGAGATGCCGAGTGTACTCACCGGCGGCACAAAGCAGAAGGGATGGCGGCATTTATTGGAAAAGGCGGGCAGAGGGCGCCGAAAAAACTGGGTCTATGTAGACATGCATATCTACGTTGCGACAAAGAGTAGCCATAGTACCCCTACACCGCACCCCCTAGGGTACGCAATTTTCGGAATTTGTCAGCTGCAAGTCGTAGCCGACAGCACCAAACTTGAGCTCGTGTTTCCGGCGAAAGAATGGTAGTAGTATTTAGTGTCATGGTTTGGTGGTGCACCTTTAGATTTAGGATCACATGCATGCCCCCCTTTCTCGTTGCTGGTGGGGAGATCTTGTTCCCGAGGGTGACGGGAGACGCAGGAATCAGGCCGCTAAATAGACACTTCCGTGGTATTTAGTAAAAGGTTGGTTTGTAGTACAGCACAAGGATCTGGTAAGTGATGCTGATGATGTGTTGTTGTTGTTGTTGTTGATGTGGTTGTCTTCACACAAAAAAGTGTTCCGGTCTCTGTTCAGTACCTATCTATTGTAGCACCTGTAGTGTTCCAACTGACGCGGCCGCCTTCGGAGAGTGCATACTAGAATAGATACTTGTACTGGCACAGGGCAGACTGCATGACGTAATATATCACCCCCCTTTCGGCCGATTTTCAAAGACCGAGTACAATACAGTAGTGTACTGACGACGCAGAAAATGGCGACCGTTGGAGCCGTTTCGTCGAGAGATGTCCGAATACACATCATTTGGTTTCTGACATCATCTTCGTCGTGGAGTACTGTAGTCAAGACTTGAAATCGGTCCAAGGGGCGTGGAATCTCATGCAACCTATGCATACGGTACGATAGCAAAGGCAGATATGCATATATGCATATGAAGGAAATGCTCAACATTTTGCCGGGGTGAATCCAAGAGCTGTCGACCTGGCCGGGGGAACAGCTACAGCGCCACTGGCAGCAGCACGAAGACCACCGCCCGTGCCTTGTGGCCGCACGCAAGCAAAAGCAGCTGTACAGCAGGCCGTATCTCTCCCTGGAGCCACCGTGTCTTACGTACGTCATCAGCCTGTTCAACACTGCTGTCGTCTTGCGTCTGTTGACATATTTTTCGCGCCGCTTTTTTCAGAGTTCTCGCATACGTCTGGCAACTCACATCACTGCTGCCGTGGAACGAAGCAGCCTACGCAAAGGCAGCAGACACGACCTCTAGACCAAGATAGAGCGTGTGCGCGACGGCGGAACGCTTTCGCGCCAGGGATGGAGAGATTCGCAGGGCATCACACGCTGTACGACGAGCAGCATGCACATGATCTTTGTGCCGTATTTAGCGGCGATTTCTGAACGAGATTTTCAACCAAAGCTCCGAGGCTTCCTTCTTCCGCTCCCCCGCAAAACTCCATGTCACAGGTCGACTCTCTCTCTTGTCGCCCCCCTTCCTTGCCACCACTCACCAGAAAGGATACCGGTAGATCGGGAGGAGTAGGCTGCGGCTTGTCTGGCTCGGCAGCCTTTGGTTTCGCATCCTCCTTTTTCGCAGCAGCAGCTGCTGCTGCCTCGCTCTTCGGAGTAGCTGCGGAGCCTTTCCATCTCGCCGCCGCCCAAGAAAGAACTGGCCTCGCGGACGACTGGGGAGCCACCAAAGGCCGGCCAACTACGCCTCGCACCGCCGAACGCATCGGCATGTTTAGCGTTGATGTGGTTGTGCGGGGGATAGCACAGGTCGGAGGGAAATAGAGATTGGCTGCGTGTTGTGTGGCAATGTTCTGGGTGTACACAGCAGTCTTGCGTCGAAAAAATGCGGCATGATTTGAGGATCTCTCGGATCTCGGCGCCTTTTTTTTTTTCTGTCGTCATGTATTTTGACCGCCCTGCTGAACCGATCAATGCCGCTGCGACGGACATTTCGGTGCGCAAGCAATGCTGTCCAGTATGACTGAAAACCCAAGGGCAATCAAGGGGGCGCTGAAAGACTGGAGTTTTCCCGTGTATGATGTGCCTTGTCTGCACGCAAGCACTCCTATTTGCGTGCGTACCCTGTTCGTATGACAGCATGTTTGAAGTGGAAAAAAATACATGTATGTACGTATGCATAGGGGCAGAGACCGAAGACTCATCAGGAGGAATGACATGCGCGGGGCGTCAGTTCCATCACCCCGGCGATGTGTTTGCGAGTATGTAGGACGTGGACAGCTTTTTGTTCCCGTTCGGTTCGCAAGGAAGCGTCAAATACGTTGTTGACGTACGTACAGATGCGTGCATAGTCCGCACAAGTAGGCGCGAAACCAACAGGCGGTTTCCAAGGTGTCCACTGGCGCATGTTCAGGGACGGGGCCGTGTAACACACGTCGGCCCTCGATATGGTACGTGTCGACGTACCCAAACACATACACACCGTTTTGGTCGCGTTAGGCCACCACCAACAACGCTATAGCCAGAGAGGCATCCAGTGTGGCGTTGTGTTTTGTTCCGGGTGGGCGAAGAGCGCCAACTCAAGGCACCACCTTCAAATTTTGGGACGGACGACAATGGGAGGACACAACAACGTCCACGACGCGCCTCCGAATATTGCATGACTCATCCATGAGAACTCGTGTTGTTAACTCGTTTCATTAAAGCGCAGAAGAGGAGAGCATACGCACTGTCTCCCGACTGCTTAACCTTGCCCCCCCCGGAACCCAACATCCGATAAGAGCAAGAAAGAGCCAACAACCGTAACATGAACAATGACGCGAGTCTCGTACGGCTAAAGGCCATCCAGCCGCACGCAGCAACACGTCGTAAAACGCCCGTGGGGAAAGTCATGTCCTCAGGCAGCCAACCGTTCTAACGAAAAAGGCAGGGGAGAGAGGCAACTCAAAACTCACTCCAATAGGGACCAAAAGCGAAAAAATATAACGAAGGAACGGGTTGGGTGGCGACCACGGCATATTCTTAGTCCGCCCTTAGCGCCAGCTCTGCCTAAAGACCCTGTCCAGACACGCCTCTAAATTTCTAACATACGCGCCATGCAACACCTGCAGCAACCCTCCCCGCCCCGTCGACTGCAAGTCTGCATACAAAATCGGGCGTGACCAAAATACAGGCACAAATCACGGGCAGCGGGGACTTCGCCAGCTAGCTGCACCTTTTGCCCCCCCGACGTCTTCGCCTCACCCTCAAACTACGCGTGTTCATCGTCTCCCAACGGCCGAAATCAAAACCAGCAAGGAACCCTTGCTTTATATTAATCCACCGAGAAGGGTAGGAAAAAATTCGTGAGCTTTGATTATGATTTTTGGACATGAGTCCCGCTACTACGCTCCCCTCAACACATTCGTCAAAAGCACAAAAAAAATCCAGAAATTTCTCAGAACTTTCCTCATCCTTCAGCTGTGGTGATTTGCGTGCAGCGAGCGCAAGCGTTTCGCCGGCGACATCACGGCGGCGTAACGTAACGCCAATTTACGCGTGGAACGGTACGCCGCCGCCGAGCAGGAGCGACTGGTGGATGAGGCCGCCGATGGCGGACATGGCTAGGCGGCCGTTCTTGATCTCCTGCAACTGGTACTTCTCGCGCACGTCCGCGGGCTTCTTGGCGAGCATCATCGGGTCGAACCCGAAGTCTCCGGGCTCGTTCCCGTCCTCGTGCATGTTGTCCATGGTCATCTTCCCCTGTTTTACCATTGAGATGCAAAGAAGGGGGATCGGACGGGGGGGGTGAGGTGTGCGCAAACAACCATCTAATCGCCGATAAGCAGCAGCCAGGGGGGTTGTGTGTCATCTGTTGTGGCGGGTGTCGTTCGAGGCCAAGCAGCAACACAACCAAACCGGCTTAAGATTACAGTCAGTAGACAGAGTCGAGTGCGAAGAGCATCTCTTCGTGTACACATCCTGCGTTCATCAGCAGCGCAGTGGATCTCTCCCACGTGCTATTTCCCAGGTGTAGCGAAACCGCGGTGTTTCACAAGATCGTTTGGGCAGCGTGCATGATCGGCAAGAAAAGCAGCAGCGGCGGAGACAAACACAAACCATGTCGGATGCGGAAATCTCACATAGGGGAATGCGGTAGATAACGTTAACGTTTTGAAGGGGTCTGTAGCAGGAAACGAGCCCTCCGAGTTGACAAAGGCACGGACGGCATGTGTCACCAAACAACCGAGGACGTCAAGCCCAAACACATGTTGAGATTTGGCTAGCAACACCGGGTGCGCCAAGCTTTAAACGCTCATGTACGTTTTCGTTGACCTGGTGGGTGCGCCAAGCTTTACACGCCCATGTACGCTTACGTTGACCTGGTGCCTTTGGAAGAATTTGCAAGTGTCCGGCGGATGTGGTAGTCGTTGGTTTGGTATAGATGTTGGCAACAGCACCGGTGGAGAGCTAGCTGTCATAGCTACCTCGCCTCGACGGGTGCACCCCGAAAGAATGCAACCCGCCCTCTGAGGCTCACACCGCACGCGGGAATACACGCACGCGCAACTACAAGAACCAACAATGCAGCAGGTATTGAAAGCTGGGCCGTGAATTTGCAGGAGTTCGGTACGCCAAGTGGATGCGAAAACAAGAGAAGGGACGGCGGTTGTTGCCTTCCCCGCCCAACCACAAAACAAGGGTGCATAACATCCGTGTGCGTTTCTTCATTTGAACATAGGCTTCCAAGCGTGTGCGCAACAGACGCGCTGGCAAACAATGTGGTGTGCAACGAAAACACGAACTATGCACGCTTCATCATTTCCACGCTACACAAAAAAAGTAGGCGACGCTTGACAGCAGGCACCAGACATGGCAGGAACCGAGAAAAGCAAAAGGCAGGCTGCGTAACGCCAAGTCTTGATTTTCGCTGTTGTATGCATGTTTGAGGTAAAGAATACGCGGTTCGGGAATCGTTGATGGGGAACGGGACGGTTTGATGAGCCAACCGGCACACAAGGGTGCTTCCTTGAGGGGGCATCCTGCAATACCATCGTCGACGCCAAACGGTAGACGAACACAGAGAGAAAAAGGCCTGGTCCTGCTTGTGGAAAATAATAAAGCGGCGACTCCGAGGGCCCCTTGCGAACTATAGTGACAGGGCTCATGTACCCCCAAAAACGATGCATGGATATACGTGGTGTACGTACGTCTGCAGCGAACTGGTCTTTCTCCTATGAAGGAGCACGCCAACGACAGACCAGCACCCACATGTTTGTAGGGGGCATGGCTGTAGTTCTCGCAGCACGTATGCGGTGCCGGGGAAAACCGGTTTGCAGAGCTACAGCAGTATCCTTCCGGCAAGGACAACACGTCAAGAAGAAAGCCATGATATGCTTGACTCGCAATGAGCTTCTGAGCACGGTAGGGCGAGTTTGGCACTACGATGGTATGAATTGGGGGGCATTGGCCGGACGAGAGAGCGGCGGGGGGAGGAAATCCCCGAAAAAAGAAAGGCACGAGGTTTTCCCAACACGCGCCCGATTGTACCACCTCTCCGTGTGCAGGCCCAAGATTTCATCAAGCACCCATGTTCAGCTTGCTATCAGGAGCACCACCACAAGATAATGATGGTCGGGAGAGACGCCTTGAGGTGCTACAACTATGGGCGCGAAAATAACACCGTTCAACAGGCAAATAGTTTGCGTGTATTAATGAAATCAAGGAGTACATTTAGGAAGCGGTTCTTGCGTATCCCATACAAACGTCTAGGGGAGCACATGTTCAAGCCTGGGACAGAAAACAACATGCGTGATGCTTGATACAGACCCGCATTGACTTTCCTTCAGCATAACGTTCCGTATTGAGTGGCGCACACCGCACGCCTCGTGCAGCGGCCTGGCCGCCGCTCAGCGCCGCTCGACACCACGTGCTCGATATTGACAGCAGCATTTGTCTCATTAGCAGGAGACACAGTATCGCGGAAAGACAGAAAATTCCCTGAGAATATTAACAAAACACCGCGACGTGCGGCATGCAGTAGCCGTGCAGTGGCTGCTGCACTACGAGACAAGTGCTTGAGGAGGTTTGTGTTGCAATGTTGGAAGTGTCTCACACACGAAAGAGGAATATATGTAGCACGCGTATGTACAAGGTGGCCCAAAACTTGGGGGTTTACGTTCACGGCATGCTTTCCCACGGGGAAATAGCAGCAAAATATGTAGTCAGTCTTGTTGAAGTACTCCTCCTTTCTAGGCCGTCGGGCACAAGCATCGGCCGAATCGCCACCACTTCCAGCTGCTGCTTACAACTTACTAGGAAAATAAACACAAAGAACGACTACAACCGTAGCAGTATTGTGAGCTGGGAGTGTACTCAAGTGAAAAGGCAAAAGTGTTTTGGTGCTCACACGTGCATACTTCGAAGCTGTACATCTTGGTATATTAGTATGCAGTGGAGATTGCTTGCTTTTCTTCGCCTTCACCAAGATACTAAACTCCTGGGTGTTAAAATATGTGATGCGAATGCTTGACCTGTTGTTTCTTCGGACGAAGGTTGATCACGATAATATCACTACTGCTGCACACGACGTTTTCTTGTCTTCAAGATGGTACTCAATGAGTCATCCTGTAAATTGCATGGTGCATGTAAACCAGGAACTTGTTGAAGGTGTGAACGTCACACAGCAGTGGCAGGGTTCAGCAGAACCAAGAAGAATCACACCATCAGCCCGGCAACAAATGCCAATTGAGGGTGGAAAGCTTGTTTGACGGATGGCCCTACATGCAAGCAATGTGTGTGTCGGGATAAGGCGCGTCACAATGCTGTTTGTAGGGCACTGCTGCTTCTCTCAAAAATCAATATATATACACTGCTCCAGCAACGTCTGCTGCTGTCATCGTGAATCAGCTGCTGCCGGCAAAACATGTCGAAAAACAAAGAGGGCGACCCCACAAAAAGGAAGCACTCACGTTGTGGAATTTCCACTCCAGGAACCCGCAGAACAAGAAGATCTGCAACATGGGGCCGGGCCCGACCGCCGCCATAGCATCCACGGGGTTCTCCGACATGTACGCAGCCCCGGGCACGTGCACCACCTCCGACACGAGCCACCCCACCACAGCAAGCATCGCAACGCGGCCGTGCTTGAGCTCGGCCTCCCTCATGAACTTAACGGGGAAGATGGTCGCGAACCCGAACGGGTCGAAGCCGATGTCTCCGACCATGCCCTCCAGGTTCTTGGGCTGCTCCAAGAAGGGGATGGACGCGGACATCGCGGGGCCCGCGGGCACCGGCTCCGGCTCCACCGCCGCCTCCGGTTCGGCGGCGACCTCCTCCGCCATGCGTAGCGCCTTGGATGCTGCGGGAGAGCTGCTGATCACCCGCGAAAAGGAGGAAGGTGCTACGAACGCCGAGGCGCAGGAAGCGCACGCCAGGCCCGCGCCTACAGTAGAGATGACCTTCATTGTTCTGTGGGTGTGGAGGTATGTACGTATATATGTGGTGCAGTCTAGGTCTTCTCGGTGGCGAGAGTTTGGTGCAGGAGCAAAGACGCTTAGGCTCGCCCACGTAAACATGCAAGATCAACATTCAACCCACTCCCCTCCCCCAGCATTTCAAATTATTTGACACGCCCCACCCCATCAATTTGCAGAAAATATGGTTCAAGACCCCCCCCCCCATCCTTGCCCCCCCTCAACCCCCCTTGAGCGGTTTCAGTTTTTTTTTTTGTGTGTTTCTCGGCTGCTGCAGAAGTCGTTATGCGACGTCGGCGCGACCGCCAACTTATAACGAACGAATCCATGGCATCATAAGCAACGGCTTCGACTCGAGACAGCCCTTAAGGTGGTGCGTTGAAGCCCTTGCCGCGAACTTTCAGCTACGCCGACCCGAGGCTAGTTGTGGACTTGCACCAGCTGACTGCTGTACATACATACGTAGGACTTCTCTGCTCTCGACGCAGCGATCGGAGAGGTTCACAGCCGTGACCATCTCGTGGTGCTAATGGACGCCAACGCACGCACTGGCAGGAGGCGAGACGGGTGCTGCGACGCCAAGATTATGGGCGCGTACGGACGCGACATTATGAACAACAACGGGGAACGACTCCTTGGACTGGCATCAGACAACCAACGCTCCCTGATCAACACCTACTTCCGGACACCGAAAGGTGGAGTGCAGCACACATTCCAGAGCTCCAACAAGGGGAAGCAGAAGTACCGCCTCGACTTCATCCTCATGCGTCAGACGGACCGGCGTTTCGTACGTAATGTCTCCGTCAAACGTGTCGACTTCAAGGACTCTGACCAACAACCTCGTGCTTACGACTGTCCGCCTCCGCCCCCGTGTCGCACCTAACCGACGAGTGCGGAGGAACAGCGCAAGCAGCCGGATCCGTATCGACCTCGAACGGTTAAGGAAGGACAACCACCTACGGACCGTCTTCCAAGACAGAGCCTCCAGCCGCCCTCCGCCCACGGCTCTCAGGCGGCCAACGGGAGAGACCGCCGCCGAGCTCACGGCTATGGTGATGTCGGCCGCTGCCGAGACCGCGCCGCTGGCGAGGTGCGCACGAGGGCAGAGGCTGGTACACGAGCGAAGCGCAGCACGAGATATCCGAAGCGTCTAAAAAGATTAGGGCGGCCGAGCAGCAACTGCGTGGGGCCTCAAAGAACCGCGCCTTCGAGGCGACCCTGAAGGCGATGCTCAAGGCGGCGCGGAAGAAGCGAAGCATCGCGAGGTGAGGAGCACTGGAAACATTCTTCGAGGGCTATGTACGGCAGCTCGAGAAGAAGAGCCGCGAGGGGGATCAGGCGGGTTTCTACAGGCACCTGAAGGTGATCGACGTCGAAGGTAAGAGTCGTTCACCTCTCAGAACATCAAGGACGAGGACGGCAAGGTCCTTCGGGACCCCACGTTTATCCGCCAGCGGTGGGCGCGGTGGTTCCACAAGCTTCTCAACACCAAGTCGCCGACCATCGACCTGCATGCGGCTGACAGGGTCAAGCGGTGGCCCACGTGCGCGCCACTCGACGACATCCCATCTCTACTCGAGGTTGAGGAAGCGGTACGGGAAATGGCCAACAGGAAGGCCGTCGGGCCGGACGACCTGCCGGCTGAGCTGATCAAGCTTTTCCTGGATGGAGATCAAGGTCTCCTCCGCGACTTCCACGCCTTCATCGTGGACGTGTGGCAGACGGGGGACGTACCACAGCAGTGGAAGGATGCCACCATCGAAGTGCTGTTCAAGAAGGGGACACGATGGAGTGCGGCAACTACTGCGGCATCTCTCTCGTCGCACACGCCGGCAAGGTGCTGCTAAGGTCGTTGCTACACGCCTGAGCCACTACTGCGAGCGAGAGGGCATCCTCCCGGAGGAGCAGAGCGGTTTCCGCCCACACCGGTCGACGCTCGACATGCTGTTCGCGATCCAGCGGCTCCATGAGCTCGCGAGGAAGAAGAGTACTACTGCGGTCTTCGCGTGCTTCGTCGACCTCACCAAGGCGTACGATTCGGCGGACCGAGATCTACTGTGGGACGTGCTCCGACACTTCGGCGTACCCCCGAAGACGCTGGCGGTCATTCGCCACTTCCACGAGGGCATGAGGGCGCGCGTCCGAACGGACGACGGGCAATACTCGGAATGGTTCGACGTGGGCCAAGGCCTCCGACAGGGATGCAACCTGGCCCCGCTGCTGTTTTGTTCTTTGCCGCGATGCTCATGGTCGCAGTGGCCGAGTTCGACACAAGGACCCCAAGGTGACGGCGGACATGGTCAAGATCGGGACACAAGTGGAGTACACGGGCAAGAAGGGCAGGTCGGCGGGGAAGAAGACGACGGTGGTGACGGACGCGGAGGCCCTGTGGGCCATGCTCTACGCTGACGACGCGACCATTGTCTCGCGCTCGCCGGAGAGTCTCGAGAATATGATGTCGGTCATCGTGCGCGTGGCCGGCCTGTTCGGACGGATGGTATCGGAGCCAAAGACGGTGATCATGCTGCCGAAAGGGATGGAGGAACGCCCGTTCACGGTCAGCGCCGCCGGCCAGACGTACAAGCAGACAGATCGGTTTGTGTACCTCGGACATACCATCTGCACGGACTGGAAGGCCGACCGGGAGATCACGAGCCGCAGCTACCGAGCGTGGAAGTGCTACCGCCAGAACAGTGCTTCGATGTACGACAGGCGACGGGCCGACCTCTAGCTCAAGATCCGGCTACTCCAGGCTGAAGTGGTGCAGACTCTCCTGTACGGGTGCGCCTCGTGGAGCCTAACAGCGGAGCACTACACCAAGCTCAATCGGATCCACCGCCAGTTCCTGACACGGTGGAGTAAGCGAAAACGCTCAGACCGTCCCCTGTCCTATGCCCAGGCCCTCATCCAGGCCGGCTGCGAGGAAACCATCGAGGCCACCGTGCGCAAACGGAGAATGTGTTTCGCGGGCTTTGTTATGGGCATGGAGGACAACCGCCTCCCCAAGCGCATGCTGCTAGGAGCGATGGCGGGGGGCGTGGGATACCGGGGCGGGCAGGGGAGTGACTAGGTGTCTCGTCTAGGAGAGGACCTCGTGGCGTTCAACATGGGAGACGAAAAGGAAGGGGGGAAATGGAAAGAGAGCGCGAAGGACCAGGAGGCGTGGTACAACAAGGTCGAGGACGGGGCGGCATGGTTCATGAGGAAATGGCACAGACAGAAGGCGGAAGCGTCCGCGAAGCGCCGGCACGCGAGGAAAGCAGAAGCAAAGGGTACGGCCATCTTGGGACCGAAGAGAAAGAGAGTCGGGGAAGCGACGGTGGGGGGGAAGAAACGGCGACCGGGCACTGCTGTAGAAGCGAGTAGGGCGGCCGAGGCAGCACCTGTGGCGAACTATGTACCCGGCTGATGTTGGTGCGCCCTGTTCCCCTCCCTGCTGTATGTTATACTCCGTATGTCCTTTGTATTGCCTTCGACCTCTGTGCTGTGCTTCTTTCTTCCTGTCCTCCCTGCCTACTCTGCCATGTTGGGTACCTTGGTCTCCCTTTTGCTATTGCTTTTGCTTTTATATTTCTGGCTGTCTGCCCATCTGCCGCCTCTTTGTTCTGTTGCCTCCATTACTCCTATGCTAGGGTGCGTAGTGCCTGGTGCTGGTACGTTACCCTTTGATTTTTTAGGCGGGTGTGGGAAGCGTTCTCCTTTTATCTTTATTTTTATATTGTTTGTTTTTTATCGGTCTTCTAGGGCGCTTTTCTCGACCGGTGCGGTAGCTGTTCTTTTCTTTCTGTCATTTTTCTTTGTTTCCCCGCGGCGTCGTATGTGCCGGGTTTTTGCGACCACGGGCTCCCCATTTTTGTGGACTATAGAGCTAATGTGAGAAACAACAACAAACAACAACAACAACAAGACGTACTGCATGTTTGGTGAAGCAAGACGATTGTCGCATCCTGTACGTAGGAAACGAAGATGCGGACAGAAGTTGGCAACGCACCACTTACAGCAGTAGAAGAGATAATCCCCGCCCACAGCCGTGCAAGTAGACCAAGAGAAAATTGTGTACTGCGGGACGACGAGTACATTTTCTCGGTACTTGTACGCGGAAATACAGCAGGAGTCAAACGCTCTCCAGCGATACATCAAACAGTGGGATGCATAGTCTAAGAAACAAACGAAGAAACCACGGTCGAAGTTGTACCAAGTGGACGGAGTCCGATGTAGACCACTGGAGGAAGGCCTTCGTCGGAGAGAGAACCGTTGCCATAATCGAGAATATGCGTGAGACTATGCGTAGAGTAACCCAAGATTGGCGAGAGGTAGTGAATTGTACTCGAAAACGTGATGGTAGCGCTCTGCACGACAACTAACTGTTGCGCCATCTCCAATGCGAAAAACAAGGAAGCACAACGACGCCCACATTGCGCCGGGCAAAAGCAGGAGAAGAGCACCAAAAATCCCGTACTGCTGTTTTTTGTGTTGCATCCTTGAAACACGGATGTATGTGTAGAAAAACGTTCGACTTTTCAAAAAGTTCGTGTTGCACATGCATACACGCACCCAATGTAGAGCCTCGTGGTCGGGATAATAACGCGGGCAATATCCGAACACGCAAGATTTAAGGAAAACTAAATACACACACAGAAATACTACCCATTCGAGATATACCCACAGTCGAACGGGATGTGGTGGAGTCTTTTCAGTGAGTGGAGGAAAGCTAAAGTTTGTTTTTTCTCTCCCACCACCAGAACGTACCATTCTTTCTTGCACATGCAAATGCATAGGCACAAGACATGGGTTTAGGGACGGACCGTGGTACGAATGTTGCTTGCAACACGACAAACAACTCGTACCCGGAACAATTCGCGCGCAAGAGAGCGAGATGGCAGGAAGCACACAGGCCAGGAGAAAAAAAGACAGGATTCCATAGAACCTCTGTCCTGTTTTTTGCAAGGGTAACATTTCTATCATTGAAGCATCTAAAGACCTAAATATGAAGCAAGTACCGGTAGACAATGCACTACTGTTGTCCTCCCAATGTAAAGCAATATCTCGAACACACCTACGGTGGTGCCGGATAAACCAATCCCCACCCACGTCCATCACGCGCTGGTCCGTCCACGTGGTGGCAGTTGTCGCCTACCTCCTCTCTTCCCTCGCAATGAAAGTTACCGTGTGCTCGCGACAGGCTACAAGGACAAGAGAGCCGAAACGACAACACGGCAACATCTTTCCTGCGTCGAAACACAGCAAGCTATATTCTCCCGAAAGCCAAAAGCGCAAGGTCTGTGCGGTCCTGGCGCGTGGGACGCAATCACGCGCGGACCACCAACGACTATAGTATTCGTTGAACAAAATCGGCACGATCGAGGCGCCAGCTGCTGCCCACACCGGTGTGTGCCAAACCTTCCTATCTGCGTGCACCCTGCGGGAACTAGAAATGCCAACAGAAAAGAGACCAGACCCCAGACCCCCCCCAAAAAATGCCCCCACATCGATCGCCGGATCAACCCCGAGTCATCCACCTACATACCTATCCCGCTCCTTCTCGCTAGAAAGCAAAAAACGTGTCCTTTTTCGAGATAGACCCTCTCTGCGCTCTATTCTAGGCTCTCGCCTTCTCAATGTCTACACCCACAACAACATGGCGCAACAAAAAGCCGTTCCGACAGCAGTGATGTCATCGGGGAAGGGATGGTGGAGGGGGGGCGATCCTACATCGCCCTACGACAATACAAAAAATATCATCTCAATCTTCGCCCGTCTACTCTACGGGCACAGAAGAAAGACCAGAAAAAAGCAACACGAGAAAAAAAAAAAAAGGCTTCTCCATCGCCCAATCAATAAATAAAAGACGCAGCGGCAAACCTCGCTAGTCTTCAGAGCATTAGACGTCGATCTCTGCGACGAGGTCGTTCCCCTGGATGTTGTCTCCCTCCTTCACGTGCAGCGCCTTGACGATGCCGTCCGCAGGGGACGCCACGTTCGTCTCCATCTTCATCGCCGACAGCACCAGCAGCGGCTGCCCCTGCTTGACCGTCTCGCCCGGGTTTACCTGCCCGGGAACGACGGTCGTTTGAGTTTTCCAGTCGGTCGGTTTTCGGGGTCATATTTCAGTCCGATTTTTTTTTTTTTTTCGTTCCGGTTTTGGTTCTTCGGCGGCTCCGCGGCTCCGTTCGTTGTGCGCCGAATCGCAACATTCTCTGTACTCCTTCGAAACGGAGTACAGCAGTACAGTAGTGGGGAAGGCCTTCCTATACGTGCAGAGGAGACCGACCTACGTTGAATTTGTTTTCCGTTTGGTTGTCGGTCGGTCTCTTCGTTGGGCACCCCATCTTTCAAGTAGCACTCCTTTGAAATGGTGCCCATAGAGGGGACCATTTAGAGATACTGCGTATGCCAAGGGTTTCGAAGTCGCCAGTACGTGTGGTCGTGCGCCGCAAATCCTACCAGATATCACGCCGAAAGCCCGAGCGTCACCGAAGAAAAGAAGGGGGTCGTGCAGTCGGATAAAAAAAAACTCACAGAATCCAGGGGACGGTGTGGTTGTTCAC